TTCTTAGAGATGTTGCATTCTCTTACTTACTGTTGGACAATCCCATTGGAATAAATCAGTTGCATGTCTTTACATATGGGCAATTACTACACTAAAGCAATTGTCTTGATTTTGTAGCTATATACTTTCTGGGCTTTTGTGTCTGCTGGGATGCAATGGTTATATTCCAGTGGAGACAAACAGAAGCTCTCAGGTCTGTGCAGCTTAAACTCCATAACTGATTCTCAATGAGCCCTTCATTTTATGTAGGACAGTAGCCAAATCATTGTACTAGAGTTAGGGAGCATGATCGTTAGATCATGCAAACTAAGCTGTTTTTAAAGGGGAAAGCTGACCATTTAGAATCCCAAACATGGACTAGATACAAGAGCATTTTAGTGAAATCTGCAGTGGTGCCTTGTACAGGCTTTGCCATAGACAAACATATATTTCTGCCTGTAGATACTGAAATTGTATTTTCAAAACTGCCCATGTCAAGCAGACTAGAAGAGGCATTGAACCAATAATAGGTTAAAATGAGGCATATTTTTTTGTGTGTGCTATTGTGGCCTTTCTGCTTTATATCCACAGGTACTATTTGACCTGGCTAAATTTATTAAGTGCTATGTTTCAATGAATGTTCCTTATTGTGAGTCAACTGGAGGGGGTATTTATTTCTAATTATTTAAAATAAAAATTAAAAAGTTGATTGTAAAGAATTATAAGAATTGTTTTGTATTGTGCTTAAAAGCTTTTGTGTTAAGGATTTAATGCGAGTAGGAGGATCCTGGAGGCCCACTGTTCATTGCTGGGGTCATCTCATGCTGCACCCACATGTGGAATGACAATGTGTGCACACATAGTTTGTGTGTGCATCTGTGTCCGTCTAAATACACTTTCTTTATGTCAAAAGGGCTAGCTTACTACTCCCGTTTTGGTTGCAGTTCTTTCTGGAGGTCAGAAAACATGACCTCACATGTACTGCTGTGATAGTTTTTTCCTTTCATATGTTAAAGCACACGAGCGGATTAATATGTTGAGAAATTCAAAGCTAAATTGACTGCAGTATAGCATTTTCATCTCTGTAGCAGCTAATATTGGGTGCTGACATTGTCTGTTCAGTGTAACTTTTGAAGTCTGGATTGGGTTGGGGTAACAGGGCTGGCAGCTGGGACTGTGCAGCTGGCGGAGCCCCTCACCTGCCCCTGCTACAGTCCCTATCCCTCTGCCTGCCAGCCAGTCTGATAACACAGGCTCTACTTCTTGGTGCAAATCTGCTCTAGAAAAGGTGAACCTTCTCGTGATTGCAAACACCCTCCTCACAGGGATAGCTGGGGTTGTTATTATGCTAATTTTCTTTTCGTATCATTCCCGTTGTGTCAGCCTGGCTTGTCAGTTATTTCTGCACCACTGTTCTTTAACCACCACATTTTGGAAACATTTGTATTTACAAGCTGCAATGCAGCACTGTTGCCTTAACGTTTTGACTGACCCTAATTGCTATGACACATGTAACTAATGATGTTTTGTACTTTCAAGGAGTGCACTAAAAAGGTGATGACATATGGGTTACTGAATAAGGTTCTGTGCAGTTTGTGCAGCAGAGTTTGTGCAGACCTGATGTACCATAATAAGCAGTTTTCCTGTGCCTGTATTTGTTTCCCATCAGACTGGCCTGTCTCCAGCTCTGAGCCTGCACTGCACACTGGAGCTTCAGAGGGAGGGAAAAGCAGGGAATTGAACCGATCTCTTGGCTTGAAGAAGCCTGATTTGATTGGGCTTTGATTTGGTTCTCGATTGATGGCAAATGTGTCACTGTGTGTGTATCGAGGTGTGAGGAAGCTGAAAGGGGTGTAAAATTAAAAAAATTAAATTTCAGATTGCCCTTTTGTTTTTGTTTACTCTTCAACCACAATCTGATTTATGCTTATTGGAGTCTTTGAACTTCAACTCCCTTGAAGAATCCCTACTCTCTGGCTGTTTTGATGTTGCTGGAAGGGGGGGCTATGCTGCATGCTGTGGTGCTCTGGGCAATTTCACTCCCGAGCGCTTCCCTTCCTTTGTTTAACCTATGACCTGTGAAAACAAGAGTTAATCAAAAGTTCTGAGGTAGCTAAGAGGAAGGGGAAGTGTTTGGTTACAAATTAAATATGAGCAAGTCATAAGCCATAAATCTTCAGTAGTGCTACCAGTTGTGCTACTTAAGTCGCATGTGGTACAGAAAGTTTTTGGTTATAAATTCAAGCTCCATTTCTTGGGAGGGGTGTTTAAAGGCTGCCTTGAGGATTTGCTTCTCGTAAGAAAAAAACCCATGTCTTTATTTTTTTCCTTTTGGCAGATTTAGAAACAAATTCAGATAACTGTATTTCTTGACTATTTGTTACAACTTATCTGGTGTAATAAAAGGAGAACTGTTAGACTCTTGAGTGATAAACACATGGAGTAAGTGATCAAGTAAAAGGATTGAAGATGGCAGGATAAATTAGTTTGATAATGTATCCAAAGCTTTCAGGATGAGATATCCTGAATTCTGCAGTGACAAAGGAGAGAGTTGAAAACTGAAATGAAATTGTCTACATAATTTATGCAATTTTGTGGTGGATTTATTTTTTTTCATGCCTTGTCTTGCACCTCTCTCAAGCATGAGCTACATAAATCCATGTGTTGTGTTGAGGTCTGCTTCAAATGCCAGCTATTTCCTCAACTTCAAAACTGTGAAGCTTCTCTCCTTGGAATGGAAAGTTATTTTTAAAGAAAAAGAAGCAGTTATGCTGAGATACTAACTGCTATTTGGAAAACATGGATTAAAATATGGAAGACTTAGTGTTAAGGCAAATCATGAAGCTGATGATGAGACATAGTGAAGAGAAAAGGGAAAGGCCACAAGAAATGAGCAACAGAAATAGGGCTCTGCCTTCCCTTTCGCTGTATGGAGGGTTTGCTGATGTTTTTATGTTTTGTAAATATGAGGCTTTATCTGAATTATTTTTACTAGATTCAAAGAAATTATTTTCTAGGTGCTGAGCAGAAAAATTAGAATGGGATTTGGATGAAGTGTTCCCATGGGTAAAACCTGCAGCTTTGTCATCTTTGGGGTATTGTGGAATGAAGAAAACTCCCTTGTATCTGTAGCAAGGTGAGGTTTAGCTGTGAATAAACAGGTCCCTGGCAGGACAGATGACTAAATCTTTGAAGCAAGAACACAAGGGGACCTTGGTTTCAGAGCTCAGCGCTGTCCCTGCTGGGTGCTGCCCTGCTTGTCACAAACCGTGCTGGGGACCTGGCCCAGCCCCACCTGCAGGCACTGGGGCTCTGCACCAAGTGCGGCACTGGCAGGCTAGAAACTAGGGTAACTTGCTTTTGTTTATTGCTTTCAAAATGGCACATACGTTATAAGAACAATCCTATTTTAAAATATTTTAATTCTGTAAGTGTAGTTTTCCAGCAAGGTCCCTGAGCAATTAAGTAGAACTTTAAATATTCCTTCCTGAAGTAAGTTTTGGTTTGGTAAATTTTTGGGCAGGGAGCTTTCTGCCTTCTTGGTTTTCTGTCTTTTCAACCTCTTTTGATAGATGCTTTGCAGGGTTTGTTTACCAGGTTCTTAATCTCTACTTAGCAGATATGTTTTGAGAGGATTTCTTGTTACTCCTGTAATGGCTTTTAACTCCGCTGAAGTTTATTTAACTAAACAGAAAGAAAGAAACTTATCTTCTAACTAATCCTTCTTGATTGTTTACAATATAATGCCACACTTAAATGCTGTTTAAAGTGGTAATTGTCTGTCTTTCTGCTCTATTCTATTACATAGCTTGTAAAGATGCTTAGAGCATATTAATTTAAATGATAATGCTGTCATATAACATGAAAAGTTAAGTTGCTTATCAGTATATTTTGATAAGCTACTTACATTTTACAGTAGCATTTGCAGACTTCAAACAAATGTTAATGATGGAGTGTCGTTCTCTTTATCTGTCTCATATATAGCTTCTCACTTCATTTATTATAAAAGCTGTACAGTTAGGAACCACAGGGCACTCAATTCTTTATAGCTGTCAGGATGTAATAATATTTTATAAAAACTTTAAATCCTGTCTAACTATATCAAAACAGAATCCATTTGCTTCAGCAAGCATCTGTGATTAAAAGAAAAATTGGTCTGTGCGTCACACAAGGGGCTCTGCTGTTGGCTGCGGCTGAGGGGGGATTCCTGCCCGTGTTGAAAAAGGAATTGAAATCCTGTGCTGTGAAAATGGGGCAAATCACACCAAACACACTGTAGTGAAATGTAACGTCTTATTTTATGGAATGAAAGTTTAATGTAGGTGTAAAAGATGTGATTTTTCTGCATGTTTGTCTTTGAATTTTGTTTCTTTATTCCTTTGGTAAGTCGAGTGCAAGTTTGCTTGAGGTGAAGTTTCTATTTGACCTCAGGGCTGAGGTAAATACAGTGAGACAGGATGTGAAGTAAGATTTGACAACAGTGAAAAACTGAGATACTGGTTACGCAATTTAAAAAATCCAGTTGTATCAGGATTCAAAACTAAAAAAAAGTGTCTGCAGTTTAATAGGGCTCTCAGCAGCTGTACAGAAGAGTAGTCATTAACATACATTTTGGGAAATAATTGTGATTAAAAATGTTCCAGCATACACACAGAGGCATTAGTGTGCTTTTATCTTCTTTTGGATGGTATATTTGTTTTGTGCAGGGGGAGAAGGAAGGTGAGGTCCAGCCCTGCCCCATCCCCTCTGAGCACAGCTGGGCTCCCTGGGGAGGGTCGGTGGCCAGGGGCTGCTGGAAGTGCTGGGCACGGGGAAGGCTGAAGCTCTCAAAGAAAGGGGTGTTTGCAGTGCTCTTCAAACAGAAGGTCTGATGTGCCTTTCCTAGCAGATATAAAGTGTCATGTCCAGTGGAGGCTGCTGTTAAGATGCATCTATGTAAAGGCCAGCAAGGCTTGGATTTATTAACTGAGATCTAGTAACTTAAATCTATGCTTTTTCTTTCTCTTTGTTTTTTTTTTTAGTTACCTCCCATGGTTTGAAGTCTTTTATAAGCTGCTCAATGTCTTGGCAGATTATTCAGCAAAAGGACAGGTATTATTCCAAAGTACTAACCCTTGTTTTCCCTGCCCCAGTATCAAATATAGAAGAGAGGATGAAAAGAAGCTGGTTTAAGCAGCACTTGTATCAGAGATGACCATGAGAATCATTAGTCTCTAGGACACAGTAAAATACAATATTCAGGCAAGCCGAAATCTTGACAAGTGCCTTTGAAAAATAAATATGCTTTTAAATTATTTTTGGGAAAAGATAAAGTCCAAGAATGGGACTGTGGCTCCAACATAAGTTAATGGTTTCCCTGTGGAAGCCTGGACTGTGCAGGCTTTTTGATGACCTGAACTGCATTTGGTGCATCCCCGTGAAGCCTGAACTGCAGTGTTCCAGTCATGTCCAACACAGGTCTTGTCCAGGTGTACTGGTCATGTAAATTGTAGAGCTGAGCCCACTGATGGAAAATGCATACCCACATAGTATCATCTAGCCAAGCCCTTCAGATGCTGTTTCACTTTTGAAGCAAAACAAAGTAAAATTCGGTTGCAAGACTGTGAAAAATATGTGAACTAAGCTATTAAAATTTGCTTCTAGGTTTATAAGTGATAATTCACGTTACACAGAAATCCCATATATGATTTCAACACCTGGACTAGTTTCAAGTATTTAAAATATTACAAATATAACCTTCCTGGTTAGGTTGCTGCTTTGATTTATTATAATTATGCTAATAATTATATAATTATATGCTAATAATGGCATTTTACATTTGTCAGAATCATTTGTGTTAGAGGTAGAAGCACTTAGTATCACATCTCCATCTAGATAGGTTGCATATATTTGCCTTTACCCCAGGCTATTGAGTTGTTACAAAAGTACTTTCAGTGAAAGCTGGCTTGCTCTGAGCTGAGTAACTATGTAGTGCATAGGTTGGTGACTCGGTAGGTTTCAGAAATACATAGAAATACGTATGGAAAAAAAGTATTCTAAAAAAATCATGTTTTAAAGCCCAGCTGTCAGGGGAATTACATTAATTTCTGTTCATAGTCCAACATATGATCTATTTTCATGTTTTCCTTTACACTTGCAAGTTCTCTAAGCCCCCAATTCTACAAACATTGCCCTTCCGTTTTGGAGTTTAGCTTCCTATAGCAATGCTGACTCAGTATTCCTTTGATTTTTTTTCTGCCTTCTTATTTCAGGATAGTCAAAGGAGTGAGCTTCTAGAAACACTTCATAAACTTACCATCCCTGAGCCAGGAACCTCTGTTCATCTTGGAGTGGTAAGTGACATGGGAGAGATGCAAACAAAGCTGTTTAATTTTCATTACATATCATAATAGAGGAATGTTAGAAGCATTTCTGCTTTTTGGGACTTGGTACACAGATGCTGTCTTCCTGTGAGGACACAGAGCTGTGAAATTCCCCTTTTCACATCTGGGGCCCTCTGTTTCCCTTTCCTTACCCTCAGATGTCTTTGAAATGCAGTGCTTTGATTGGAGGAAGATTGTGTGTATTCCCCATGGAAGTTTCTCACCATATCGTCTGTGACCTGCGAGAGGTCACAGAGCAGCAACATGACTTTTTTTGTCCACACTTCTGCAGAACCCCTGGATCTTGCAAGTGTGCAGGGGGGTCAGGACTGGAAAGCAAACAGCCACATACCAGTCACAGCAGCGTTTGGAGTATTAATCCTTTATTGCATTTTCTGTGGTGTGGGCAGCCACAGGTCTCTTCTCCCTCTCCATTCCTTTATTCCTTTTTCTAAAGTACCCTTTGGCAACAAGCAGCTTACTGCCATCACTGCACCCTGTAATGTCAGTCGACAGGTAACAGTTGTTTGGGTCACCAGCTGGCAGTGGCAATGTCCCAGTCCTCTTGAGGCCAGATCTTTTGTGAACAGCATTTCTGTTTGAGGAGCTGAGCTGTGTCAAAGGCAATGATCAGTTGGGATATTTCAGTTTTTTCCTACCAGGGGTTTCACGGAACGCTGTCGCTCTTCCCACATCTCAGACATTTTATGGGTGGTGAAGCAAGAAAGGATATAAAAAAGCAGCTGAGGGACTGTTAGCTGGGGTGTCTTTTTTATTGGCTGTTTACAAGCCTATTTTGGGGTTGAGGTGAGGTTCCTTTATGTGATATAGTTGTGTATGCTACTCCTGTATCTTTGCATTGCAACTTTTCAGCCAGACTGAAACACTGATATATCAAATAGCATCCAGTGTCTATGTGCAGTGTAGCTATTAAACCCATTTGCTATTTCAGGTTATAGACTGTTCATGAAGCACTGAAATGTCTGAGATATTTATACAAGAAAATTGTGCCAGTTGTAGAACTATGCCAAGAATGTAACAGCCTTTAAAGCTTCAGCAACTAATTGATATGTACCCCAAAGACAAATTGTGGAGATCTTAAAAATAATATAAATGGCATCCAGCATTCATTTACAGAAGCAGTTTAGTTACATTCTCTCTTTCCCAAAAAACAGGAATCATGCAAGTTATGCATAGTCAGAGTGGGAACTAAAGTGAACCTGGTCTCTTGGAATGCAGACAATTTAAAACTGTAGCAATACAATGGATTATGAAATGGCAAGACCAATAGAGTCTTTCCAAATGTGTTTTTTTAAGGTGTATAGAAATGACCTAGAATGTCAGTAATATTTTTTAGTTAAGTAGGCATAAAACTTCAGGAAGCATTTCTCAATAAATTCCCGTAACATCACCACTGTCTTGAATGCAATTTAGTGATGCTGTAAGTCAGAAAAGGACCTGCTGCTGTTGCTTTCTATAGTCCATCATACAACTTGGGCTGTGGAAAGATGGCTTGAATTATAGACTGCCATGGAGTTACCTTGACATATGTCCTACATTGTGTGAGTCTGTCTGGATCAGCATCTCTGAAGAATAAAAAAATGGAATATGACTTTGCAGGAGCAAAGTCTTTCTATCCTAGTGCATTTCACATTGCATGTGTGATCTGAGAATCCATCTTTTGAAATCCATGACAAATAAATCATACTGGTAGTTTGGTAACAAATGTTCTGTCATTTTTACTTACCTGAGTGACTGCTATTACTTTTGTTCCTAATACCAAGCAATACATTTTGATTACTTTTTACTTCATTGCAATAACCAGTATTTGTTCTTTTTTAGCACTCCTACTTCACTGTGCCTGACATGAGAGAGCTTCCTAGTATACCTGAAAATGTGAGTACACTAGGGGACCCTGCACTTTACCATTTCTGTTTCATGTCAGCAGAGAAACAGGTAACAATTGTTACATAGTAGTAGATTATATTCTGTAACAAGAGTTTACAATCTGCATTTGTGAATAAAAGATGAAATGTATTAAGGATAAAGTCCTAATGGACAGATCGATATGGGCAGAGAAAAGCAGATCATACAGTGAGACCTTTCCAAAAGGATGGCAGAAGAGACCAGGAAGAGTGATCTGGTCATCAGGTGTCTTTCTGAAAGTGTCAGGCATATCTGGCTTCTGTGGGGCAACTTTTCCAGACACTTTTTAAGCTTCACAAAGTTGTCTTGTATGCATTTCAGCATGCCTCAGATTTCTAGCCAGATGATAGGTCTGTGGGAAGACAATGCTGGCATTTGCTTCTGTTAACTGCTCTTTAATGTGCTCATGCTATGTCTCATAGCCAAATTTCTATGCCTGACATCTCCGTTTTCTGAACATGTTGTGGTCTGCCTTAGCACCACATACCTCAGTTTATGGCATGAAAGAAAGAACGAGAAGGGAATCATCAAGACAGTTAATCTCATTTGTGGATGATTTGTATAGCAGATAACATTTGGGGCTTTTTGTTTCTCTTTTAAAACATAGTTGCTAGCTTTTCTGTGTTGTAGACTTTTCATACTGACATGTATCCTGTCAGTAAATTTAATAGTTGTGCTTTTCCCTCCAAAGTGCTATATTTCTGTGCAAATAAGATACATTAGGAGTAATTCAAGAGTCAGTTCCTGAATCTAAAATAGCCAGCAATCTGGAATATGTTCTGTCCTAATGAGACATGAAGTTACTTGTTTATAGAGGTTATATGTTTAATGTTAATCTCTTTTTTCCTAATCATCTAAAACCAGTGGCAGGTGTTAAAAGTAGCTCATCTGCCTTGTGCCTACTTTAACTGACACTGAGCAGCTTAATAACACACCACATAGTACAGGCTCTGGGAAGAGGAGCTTTCTTGGTTACCTCTCCTGGTAATGTTGGCTTTGTATTCAAAGGCATGAGTCAGCTTCCCAAAACATTTGAGCAGGAGATATGATGAATGCTCATGAATCAAAGGCTGTTGTAAAGCAGAGGCCTTAGGCCAGAAGGAGTTGGAAACCCTTTGAAAGCTGAAGGCTCAGCCTTCACTGGAGGGAGGGAGTACCTTGTGATGCTGGAAAATGTCCCTGTGAGTCATGGAGTGATGATGATGTGCCTGTTCCCATGTGGGGATCCAGGGCAGGGATGTCACTGTGAAGGATGGATTCTGCAGCCTGTGGGGTGAACCAGGGCTCCTCTGGGACTAGAAGTGAAAGAAATTTCATTTGGTTAATAAATATGTATGCCTATCTACACACCCAGATTTAAAAAGCTGGGGCTTATTGTAAGAAAGAAAAATACTAAAATCTAATTCATTGACCTAGCTCTTGTTACAATTGGCTGTCTTCTGTTTCTCAGGCCTTTCTTTTATTTATTTTTTTTTCCTATTGAATATAGTGTAATTGCTTAGAAGGATTTTAATGGTTAATTCAACTTTAATGTAGAATTGCAGTCTATTAGGGAATAATGCAAGGATATTAAATGAGGATAAATCTTCACGGATTTTAATCAATTGGCCTGATTTATTTTAAAAAACCCTATGTTTTTATCAGTAATTACATTTTAAAACCCACATTAGCAAAAATTTTAGTAGTGCCAGACTTTGAAGTTGTATGTAATGATTAATGGAGAGCTGCACAGAACTCTATTTGAAATGTTAACAAACTTCTTGGAATTATCTGACTTTGTGTCAGATCAAGAAGTTTGATGAGTCACAGAAACATTTAGCATGGATGCTTCTGTATAAGGGCTAATCATGCACTTTTTCAAAAGATTTAAGTGATATGAAAGGTCTGTAAATGCATTGTGACTTCAGAATTAAATGGGGTTCATTGCAGGAAATGCAGGACAAGACTCTTACTTTCCTGGTAATAACTGTTTTGTTTCAGAAATAGCAGGGAAGTTTGCAGGCTGAAACGATGACATTTGCTTGGTGATGATGTTCTGGGGTATTTTTGTATCATTAAGTCCTATATTTTGAAAGGATTTTTCAGTCATTATAATCTACGTCTTTTGCTACCTGTTTTTCCTAAAATTCCCCCTCCCATCTTTATTTCTATAATTACACTGATAAGATGTGTTGGCTTCATTCTTCTGCTCTCCCAGACAGCAGCACAGCACCATGAAGGTGTTAGCTGTATCCCACGTGGCCAACACGTGCTAGATTTTGGATGTGATGTTGCAAAGAAAACCAACTTCTAAGTAAGACAAGGGATTTCCAATAGGAGAAAAACTGAATTAGTTCTCTAGACCTGTTCTAATAGGAAATGTACTGAAGTTTGTAAATTAAGCCATTCAAGAATAGACCAAAATATGTTAACTACACTCCACATTTAAGCTTCACTCTTTGCATAGGAGAGAGCTCAGTGGTTTGTTCCTTCAGGGAGAAATTCTTCATTAGATAATGGAGTAAGAGATGTACAGGAATGTATATTTTTTAAATCTCAATACTCAGTGTGCATGTGCTTTTTCTGCTATTAGATTGCAGTGATTGGATGGATGATTGATCCGGGTATAAACTTCCAAAGGAACATGAGGGAATTTTGTAGCATTCC